AGGGGGCATGGCACCTCTGGTTTTTTTTTTTTTTTTTTTTTTTTTTTTTTTTGTTTTTTTTGTGACCAGTAAGGGGATCGCAACCCTTGACTTGGTGACGCCGCACCGCGTTCAGCCAGTGAGTGCACTGGCCTTTCCTATATAGGATCCGGCCGCCGTGCTCCCAGCACCGCACTCTCCCGAGTGTGCCACGAGGTTGGCCCACCTCTGTTGTTTATGCCCGTAGCATCTCCCATAGCCACCTATCCATCCGTATCTCCTGCGCTCTCACGTCAGGGAAGGTTCCCTTGAATCCTTTCTGCTGTCGCTGCATCCCACATCATTTCTTCCTGTTAAGGATGCATCTCTTCCTCAGGGCACCTGACCCCCTTCTCCTGCTTTCAAAATTTTTTATTCATGACCCCAAGGAAGAAATACATTTTATTTTGTGATTCAGTATAAATATTTATGTGTGTATTTAATGGAAAAAAGTTTCATGAAGCCAATACTACATGGGAGACATTCTAATATATTCTATTCTATTCCATTCCATTCCTTTACTATCTTATCTTGTGTCTTCCAAGAAGTACACAAGAGACAAGAATTCAAATGAAAGTAGTTTACTTTGCAGGTGATTCCAGGAAACACCAGCAGAGTGGGAAACTGAGACGGGAAAACAACGCAGCCAATGAAATGTTTGTTATCCAGTGTGGTTGTACTGCCTGAGAGGTGAGGTACCAGTGTATTCAGTGTACTAACATACAGACTCCCTCAGGCATCAGTTGAGGGCTGCTGGGCAGGTGGTTGGGTCACTAATTTCCTGGTACTTCTGACCTGCTATAAGAGCTTGATCAAAGCAGGTTTCAGCAGCAAAAGAGAAGCCCTCAAAGAAATGCAGGTGCCGGCAGTTGGGGGTGGACTGGTGTGCACAGAAGTGTTAAGGGGGTGTGGGGAGAATGAAGAGGGAAGGAATGGGACACCAGAAGCAGCCACTGCTCTTACTATTTTGTGTTTTTAAAATGTCTCTGTCCCTATCCACTAAATTGATTTCATGGTCTACTCATGGATTACAACTCAGTTTGAAGGGAAGTGTATTTCCTAAAGAGTGGTCCTTATGATTGGGGTACTCCTGGTGGTCCATGATGATTTTAGGTGGTATGTGAACCAGTATTTTTTAATGTTAATCTTCATCTTAAATTTTCAAACTGAATTAAGGGAAGAGATAAAATAATACTTCTCAGATATAGAATTTTCTTCCTGAATGAATACATTTGAAGAGGAAAATAGTAAATTGATTTAAATATAAATATTGAATAAGTGATACATGGGTACATGCTATGGTCTGAATTTTGTCCCCTCCAAAGCTCATGTGGAAGCTTGGTCCCCAGTGTAGCAGTGTTGATAGTGGGGCTGTTGGAAGGTGATTGGATTGCTCTGTCCTCATGAATTTTGAAGAGGAAAATAGTAAATTGATTTAAATATAAATATTGAATAAGTGATACATGGGTACGTGCTATGGTCTGAATTTTGTCCCCTCCAAAGCTCATGTGGAAGCTTGGTCCCCAGTGTAGCAGTGTTGATGGTGGGGCTGTTGGGAGGTGATTGGATTGCTTTGTCCTCATGAAGTATTAATACATTCATGATTAATGGATTAATGGGTTAACAAATGAAGGGGTTATCCTGGGAGGGGCACTGGTGGCTTTATAAGGAGAGCAAGTGAGCACATTAATACACACTTGCCCTGTCACCATGTGATACCCTGCACCTTCTTGGAACTCTGCAGAGAGTTCCCACCCAAAAGAAGGCTTTCAAAACCAGGTATGCCCACTCAACCTTGGGCTCGCTTCCTAGCAAGTGAGCACATTAATACACACTTGCCCTGTCACCATGTGATACCCTGCACCTTCTTGGGACTCTGCAGAGAGTTCCCACCCAAAAGAAGGCTTTCAAAACCAGGTATGCCCACTCAACCTTGGGCTCGCTTCCCAGTCTCCGAAACTGTAAGAAATAAATTTCATGAAGCCCAGCATTCTCTTCCCTAAGATTCCTATAGTCAAGATGTCCCTTGATTGCAGTCCTCTTTTATTTACTCTACAAGTCTAACTGTGCTTCTCCCCACCACAGAGATTCGGCTATGGAGGCTGGGTGCAGCTCCAACACCACAGCAAGGTGAGTTTCTCCCAAAATGTGAGCATGAGGAGGACCCAGAAATGTCCTGAGCCTTGGGATACCTCTCTGCAGGCTGGGTCTCCAGGGATTTTAATTCTTCTACCCTCATGTTAACTTTGTAGTAGGCTAAGTAGCAGCATGGAAATTTCTCACGATCATTAGAAAAGATAGGGGTGACTTCAAAGAGCAGCATTTAGGAAGATAAAGTTGGAATTTGAAAAACCATTAAGAAATCTTGCTTTTTCTTTTTTGCCCTTGGACCAATCTTAGCATTTATTGCTCGGCCTCAGGGAAGTGACCTAGCCTTCTCTACAGGTTATTGCAGTTATGTTAAGCTGACCAAATAAATGGCACAGGTAGGTTTGAGCACAAGCTAGAGATATTAAACATTGGAGACAAAGGGGAGAAGCAATTATTAAAGGTTGAGTTTGATAAGAGGAAAAAACGAGAAGACGGCTTGGGGCAAAGCATTCTGCAAATAATGATGCCCGAAAATGAGCTAGGAGTCTAGGTCTGCACAGCGTTCAGGTCTGACTTCATTTTCAGAGGCATCAAATGCCCTCTTGGAGTTCAGAGGAAACATTCTTGAGCTTCTAGCTGCAATACAATGACATGATTAAGGCTGGTCCTGGAAGACTTCTGGTCTGGACAGACATAGTTAATGTGCAGGGTTAACCCAATGCAATGTGAAAAGGTTAGCACTGCCTTTGCGCCAGGTGCTAATGGGCATAGATTTAAGCATGAAGGATGCACGAAGACATTCTAGAGGAAGAGATGTCCATGCTGAGTCTTGATGTAGGTGTGGAAGCTTGCCCAAGGAATAAAGAAAACAATATTCCAGAAAAATAAGGCATGGAACAAAGGCATGGAAATATTAAACATATGTGAGTCCAGAACTCAGGCACTCAACTATTGCTGGTACCAGCATTTTTCAAACTGGAGTTCCAGGACCAGCAGGTTCAGCATCACTAGGGATCTTGGGAAAGATGCAAATTCTTGGGCCCCACTCCAGATCTACCAAATCAGGAACTCTGGGGATATGGCCAGCAATCTTTTTCAACAAGCCTCCTGGTGATTCTGATGAACATTCAAGTTTGAGAACCACTGGCTCATACATTCACTCACGCATTCACTATTATCGGTACCTGTCTTGTGCCAGGCCCACCAATCTAGACGATGAGAATGTGTGTCCCAGTGAACAAGACAGGCATAGGCCCTGCCCTAATGATGCTCAAATTCTAGGGGGACAGAAATCAACAAGATCAATTCAGAGAATGTAATAAAAAACAGTGCTGTAATAGGGAGTGACAGGCTGAATGGCTGGTCAGTGATCCAGCAAAGACTTGGTAGATGGGAAGGGAAAGCCTGGAAAAGTGTTCCCGGCTGAAGGAATAGCAGTTGCAAAGGCCACCAAGTGGAGAAGAGTGAACATGTTCAAGGAATGGAAAGGAGGGCAATGTGGTTGAAATGCAGTGAAAGGGGGAGATGGTAGGAAATGGCTCAACCACACAGGGACTTGTACGACATGCTAAGGAGTCTGGATTTTACCCAATACATTGTAATTTCTTCGGAGGGTCTTAATGGTTGTAAAAACCCACTTTGGCTGCTCTGTGGAGAATGGATAGAGATGGGCAATAGTTTGGGGAACAAAGGGTGGAAAGAAGCTGGAGAGGAGAGCAGAAGCTCATCAGACAGAGCCTTGAAGGATTTAGGGGTTTAGAGCCCAAGATGGGTTTAGGCCTTTGTAATTGATCCTAAAGGCAGTGGGGAATCATCAGAGTTTTAAACATTAGGAGCTCTCAGACAGCTCATCCTCACCTTCTTTGAAGGGTGTCCACTACACTTCTCCCATTCAGTGCTAGTTCCTATCCAGAGGTAGATCTCTCTGCTGGCCTCAAGTCTCTCCAAGGGATAGCACAATATGAATGGAGCTGATTAAAAGGCAGGCACAGGCAGCCTGTGATTTTTTTTTTCTTACTCTGTGTTTGTCCCTTGATACTGGATTTGAATGGCCTTCATTTTGTTTTAATGTTAAGAGATTTCATAAATTTAGCAGCAAATCACGAAAAGAAAACAGAAAATATTTTCCAGTCTTATCTGCTGACCTTACTTTCAGAAAAACTGGACACAATGATAGTCTAATAGAATGAAACAGTGATACTCTCTTCTCTCCCTCTCAAAAATAAAACAACGCAAAACAAAACAGAACCAAATCTGTATTTTTCATAAATACAATGGTCAGGAATTAGAATCACTAGAAAATAACAAGCAAATGTATGCAATTATTCAAATTGGACTGAGAGCAATGAGAAAATCCAGTATTTGGAATTTGAAAATTCTTTTTATTCTCCTACATTCCTCTGGTGAATAAATATTTTCTGCCTCAGTTACTGACTTACCTTAGAGATTCCTGTTCTCTGAAAGTTCTTTCTAAAACATTTCTCTGATTTGCCTGATTTGTTTCTCTTCTTAACCTTTGGTTTTTCAATCCTCTTGGAACGGATTGAGGGTAGTCATTTGCCATGGTAGAGTCTTGCTCAGAACTGAAAAACATCATTTGTATGTGGTTGAATGTTTATGACAGTGTAAGTAGCAAGCCAGTCCTTGGTTTGTATGACAACCTGCCAGGAGCTGCATGGGGTGCATGCCATGAGGGCAAGAACACCTGGGAGCACTGTAACATTGTAAAGGCTACAACCCAAGAGGGTAGACATAGGGCCTGTTTCAAATCTGCAGGTCATCCACATCTAGAAAACACACACACATTTACATCACTCTTAGCATTTCTACACACACAATTCTGTCTGATTCCCCATTGTTATGGATTCAATGTTTGTTTCTCGCCACCCCTGCCCCCCATTTACATGTTGAAACCCTAATCCCCAATGTGATAGTATTTGGTATTTGGAAGTAGGGCTTTTGAGAAGTAATTAGGTTAGAAGAGGTCATGGGGATGGGCCCTCAGAACAGAATTATTGCACTTATAAGATACACCAGAGACCTTGCCCTCTTTCTCCACCATGTGAGGACACAGCATGAAGACAGCCATCTGCAAACCAGGAGGTGGGCCCTCACCAGGAACTGAATCAGCTAGCACCTTGATTTTGGACTCCACAGCCTCCAGAACTGTGAGAAATATGTGATGCTTAAGCCACCCACCCTAAGGTATTTTGTTATAGCAGCCCAAGCTGACTAAGACACCTACTTACCTGGTCCCTGCTCTCAAGATCATTTTCCCCTTGCTGGGTAGCCAGGCAGACAACCAAATGACTGAAGAACATACAGATAGCAGTAATTTTGTGCTAAATAAGCAAAAAAGACAATAAATAGTAAGGGAGTTTTGAGGAGGTGGAGAGCCCAAAGCAGGTGACAATCTTCAGGAAGATAAAGAATCACATAAATGTACAGCTAGTGAGCATCTACTCCATTGTTTGAAAATATGGGTCGCAACCCAATATTAAATCATAATTTCAATGTAGTGGGTTTGGACAGCTTAAAAAATGAAATAGATTACAAAACAAAATAGCAGAATGCATTGTGCATGATCAGAGTAAATATTGTTTTATAAAACTTTTGTCTCAGTTTGCAAATCATAATTTCAATGTAGTGGGTTTGGACAGCTTAAAAAATGAAATAGATTACAAAACAATATAGCAGAATGCATTGTGCATGATCAGAGTAAATATTGTTTTATAAAACTTTTGTCTCAGTTTGCATCTGTATAGATATATATGGGTGCTCTGGGTCACAATGAAAAACATATTTCTTAATATGGAATCACAAACAAAATCAACCGAAAGCTATGGATCTAGTCCAATGCCCTCCTCTCATGTTTTTATTTTAAATTTTTTATTACATAAGCTATATTTGAATAAATTCTCTTTTTAAAATTTAAGCTGTTAGAAATAAAGTTACAATTCCCTTGGACCAGCACGCCCCATCCTCAAAAGCAATTTGGTGGGTATCTTTCTAGACCTTTTCTTACGATTTTACTTATATATGCACACACCTATAGAAATCACATAGTATTATTTAATACATTTAGGTACTTTTTTTTTTTAGCTAATCCAATCAGGTTCCAAACAGAAGATAGATGGCACACTTAAATTAGAATGCTTTGAAAAGAGTTAATAAAGGTATTATTTATAAAGGAGTAGGCAAGTGAGGAAGTTATAGAGGTAGGCAGAGGTTAAATCACATAGGGTCTTACAAGCCAGGCTAAGGAGTTTGGGTTATATCTTGCAGGCAATGGGAATCTATTCAAGAGTTTTAGTGGGGCAAGGGCAAGATCTGAGTTGGGGACTAAAAATTTACTTTGCTTTGTAGAGACTGGGTAGGAGGGAAGCAAGAGCAGAAGCGGGGAGATCAAGCTGGAGGCTGAGCAGTTGTTCAGGGAAAGAGGATGGACGTATGGACCAGTGCTGAGCAGTGGAGGTGGAGAAAAGTGGACCATTGCAGGATATATTTTGGAAACAGAATCAATGGTACTGGGAAATGGATTGCATGGTGGCATATCAGTCAGAAGAAAGTAAAAAAATGACGAAGTCTCAGAGGGACGAGAAAGATAAAGCAGGCTTCAAGGACAGAAGCAGCCAAGCCAGGAGGACAAGTGGGTTAGGGACAGAGATGAACAACAGGTTGAGCCAATGAGTTTGAGGTGGTTATAGTGGGGCTTGCCTCTCGAGCTGTCCTTGGGTTGTGGGAGTTGGACTGATTATAGAGGTTGCTTCTTGGTGACAGGGTCTGGGCCATTTCTGTCAACTCTGTGCCTCAAGCCCAACCAGCCTGGCAGCTTGTATGGTCTCGAGGGGTGGCCTGAGTGGGCATTGGGGGCAGGGGAAGAGAATGGAAATGTGATGGTGAAATACAGAATTTGAAAATACACTTCTGATGATACATGCAGTACCAGGCATTTGAATACTAGACATATTTGGACTTATTTGGGATAATGTTAGAACTAGAACTTGAAAATCTGAAATTCCACAGGTTAGGTTGCCCAG